TTAGACAAAAGAGACTTCCCTGGTGGTGTTGTGGTTAAGACTATGCCTTCTAATGCAGGGGCTGCAGGTTCAATCCCTGATGAGGGGACCAAGATCCCACATGCTTCACTGCTCAAAAACCAAAACAAGAAACAGAAGCAATATTGTAACAAATTCAATAAACAACTTTAAAAATGGTCCACATCAAAAAAAATCTTTAAAAAATATATATGTGTGCATATGTAATCTATATGTATGTACTCGTGTATAACCCTTTGTGTTAAATAGTTTGGCTTTTTACAGCAAACTACATTAGAAGTCAATTTTCTCAGACATGGATGCTTTGAAATGTAAATTCATAGTCCCTACTAACAAACAACCATAGGAATTCTATGTCCTCTGCACATTTGGTGGCACATCCCGATTTTATGTCACCTACTTGGGAGGCTGAATGGTGCCATCACATAATCTTGGGCTTAAATTTCAAAACCCTGGCTAGAATTTTCTGCTTAGCCTTTCCCCCACAACTGACAGTTTTACCCCAGAGCTAAAGACAAATGAAGAACAAAAACAGGCCTGTTGCGGTGTTGATTATTTCTTGCTCACCTCTATTTCTCTACTTTAAAAAAAGTTTAAGGTATATGTTTTTTAATGTGGACCACGTTTTTTTAATGGCCACATCATACAGCATGTAGGATCTTTAGTTGGGGTGTGCAAACTCTTAGTTGTGGCATGCTGGATTTAGTTCCCTGACCAGGAATGGAACCCCAGCCCAGGAATGGAACCCCAGCCCCTTTGCATTGGGAGCTCGGAGTCTTAGCCACTGGACCACCAGGGGAGTCCTAGACCCATTGTTTCTTGACTGCTTTCCCTTCGTTCCTGCAGTCCTTTCTTCCCTTAAGATCATTAATTACTGAGAACTGTTTAAGGGCAAGCATTGTGGCCAGGCTTAGATCACAAAATGTCTTGGACCAAAATGGGTTCTCTTATGTCAAAGATGTCATGCCTGACTCTCTTTCTCCAGGGACCCCCTTCCCTATCTGCTTACAACACCCAATGTTGACATAAAAGAAATTTCCAGTTATTTCAACCAGATCATCAGATGCTCTGGATCAAACTCAAGACTGTCAGATTTGTACCCTTTGTATATTTCCTCAGGATTCCCAGGTGGCTCAAGTGGTAAAGAATCCACCTACCAATACAGGAGATGCAGGCAGGAGATACAGGTTTGATCCCTGGATCAGGAAGCTCCCCTGGAGGAGGAAATGACAACCCACTCCAGTATTCTTGCCTGGAAAGTTCCATGGACAGAGGAGCCTGGCAGGCTACAATCCACAGGGTTGCAAAGAATCGGACACAACTTAGCTACTGGACACACACACACGCATATAATTCCCCATATTTTGTCTTTCTTCCTTAGATTTTGTCTTTCCTCTTGTCATGATGGGTATTAAAGTCTTAAAATGAAGAGGGTCTACAAACTTGTTTTCAGGGACAACCAGGAAGGTTGGTGGCTGACCAGCCCACTCAAGATGGCTGTTCTCTTGCTCTCTGTCCGTCCCCTGCCCGACCAGGGCCTGCTTCACTTACACTGACTCTGGCCTTCCTACATACTTGCCTTGGGCCCCAGCTAGTGATTGTCCTTATCAAAGGGGCGGTGAGGGGCGTGCCCTTCTCTTGGTTTCCCTGGTAATCGATGAGCCCATCTGACATCAACTCCCCTGTAACTGGCAATCTCCCCTTCCACCAGGAACAAAGACTGCTGCTGTGTCCTTAAGGTGTCTGCTGCCCAAGGTGGGGGTGTTGCTCTAGGACTTTGCTTCAGACACATAAGCTCCCCATCTGTCAAACCATTGATGTCTCTGTTGCTTGATGCATGTGTACGTGCTAAGTCACTTCAGTCATGTCTGACTCTTTGCAACCTTATGGGCTGTAGCCCAGCAGGCTCCTCTGTTCATGGGATTCTCCGGTCAAGAATACTGGAGTGGGTTGCCATTCCCTTCTCCAGGGGATCTTTCTGGCCCAAGGATCGAACCCTCATCTGCTGTGTCTCCTGCATTGCTAGTGGATTCTTCACCGCTGAGCCACCAGGGAAGCCCCTCTGTTGCCCACTCCGGGCTTTCCTCAGTCTTGAAGCTGGGCAGATGCAGGCTTTGTAGGGCTTTGAGGTGCAGTCCAACAGGTCAGCATAAAGAGACCAGCTTCCAGAGCCCCTCAGGAAGGGATTGAGAAACTTGACAATTTGGGTAGGTGGTGACAATTACCAAGAGGAGAGGTGGTGGGGCAGGGGAGTCCCTGGGACCTGTCAGGGTGGAAAAGGAGAGCTTGAGAGGAGCCTGCCTGGGCCTGTGGATCTCCCCCTGGGGGGACTTAGGAGAAAGGGTTCCTCAAGTACAGTGATAAATATACTTTGCACTGTAATAGGATTCCATTTGAAACTGTTACAGCCGAGGTGTTACGAGCCTATTCTTGTATCACAGAAAGCTAGGCTTTTCCTCCATTTGGCAGGTATTATTTGATTTTCCTTGTTCCTAAAATAGCACAAAGGAAGGCTTCTGTTTGTTCTCTTACCTTGTGCTAATCTTGGAGCAACATGAAAATGCTGACTGTATGCGGATCTTGAAACAACCCCGAAAACTTCCAACATGGGAAGACAATTAATTCCCACTCATTCCCCCTTTACTCTTGGATTCCATCGACTGGCTGTGTTTAACCCCAGTTTTGCCTACTCTTTCCCAGAAAAGTCACAGCTAACATGCATGGATCTACTAAAGGCAGGAGCATAGATTCTGTAGGGTGTGGGATTCCAGCTTGATTCTCCGGGGGCTGACGTCTCATCAGAGAACTAACACTGAAGAGCATATGTTCAGTGCTAAGTTTGGGGATCTGGATGATAATGGCTTCAGGAATGCAGCTGAGACAAAAATCCCTGAGGGCTGAAACACTCAAGCTTCTTGGAGAAGGTGGGCCTCCAAGGATAGACGTAGAGAAGGAGTAAAGAGAGCAGGTGAGTAAGTCAGAAAGAGAAAAACAAATATTGTATATTAACGCATGTATGATATGCATTATGGAAAGCTACAGTCCATGGGTCTGTATGACTTAAAGTCACAACCAAAGTGACTTAGCATTCACACACCACACATATATACAGAATCTAGGAAAGCAGCACTGATGAACTTATTTACAGAGAAGAAATGGAGATGCAGATGTAGGGAATGGACTTGTGGACCCGGCAGCGGGAGGAGAGGCTAGGAAAAATTGAGAAAGTAGGATTGATGTACCTACACTCACTCACTCTCAAAGTCACTCAGGTGTGTCTGATTCTTTGAGACCCTATGAACTGCAGCCCGCCAGGCTCCTATGTCTATGGGATTTCCCAGGCAAAAATACTGGAGTGGGTTGCCATTCCCTTCTCCAGGAGATCTTCCCAACCCAGGGATCAAACCTGAGTCTCCTGCATTGCAGGCAGATTTACCATTTGAACCACCAAGGAAGCCCCATGTATGCTCATAACCTGTGGGAGGCTGCTATATAGCACAGGTAGCCCAACTTGGAGCTCTGTGATGACCTAGAGGGAGGGGATGTGGGGGGAGGGAGGCTCAAGAGGGTAGGGATATATATACACGCATACACACACATATATATATCATTATGGCTGATTAACATTGATGTATGGCAGAGACCACCACAACATTGTAAGGCAATTATCCTCCAATTTAAAAAATAGAGAGACAGGCAGGTGGAGGGTACAGGCGAGACCAGCCTGTGTGGAGCATCTCTGCGGAGGAAGAGGGACCCACTGGAGACAGCAGTCATGGCTGAAGCAATGTCTGAGTCAGTGAGAGCCTAAAGTAGGATTTTCCCCAGATTAATGGAAACACTGCGTGTTGCAAATATATCCATCAGAGCATTAGAGGGAGGTAACGGATGATCTGGCTCCTGGGACCTGCCAGCTGAGTATGGAGTCGGGGGTGGGGGGGGACGACAGCGTTCGGAGGGGCTCAGCCTCTGTCCATCTGCTTGCTCTTCTGCGTTGCTCTGCTCAGTCGGGGCCGAGATAAGGGTGCGTGTACCTCCTTCTGCTCCCTGTAAACTCAGCTCGTATTCTGTCTTTCTCCCGCTCTCTCCCTTCCTCTGCCCTTTCTGCTCACGGCCAGATGTTGAGGAGAAGTCCTTCCTCGCTGTGAGTTTTGGATGGAATGTCCACCTGTGACATCAGTCTTNCCTGTAAACTCAGCTCGTATTCTGTCTTTCTCCCGCTCTCTCCCTTCCTCTGCCCTTTCTGCTCACGGCCAGATGTTGAGGAGAAGTCCTTCCTCGCTGTGAGTTTTGGATGGAATGTCCACCTGTGACATCAGTCTTGTGTGTGCATGCCCAGGTTAGCAGGGACGGTAAATGATGGGGACTCTGTCAATACCAGGATCACGAGTCTCCAGACCCAGCTCTAACACTTTCTAGCTCCTTGAATGCTGGCATTTCCACTACCTGCTCTTCAGTTACATTTATTTGAAAAATGGAGACGTTAATACCTCCCTGTCTACCTCACACAATTTCCTTGAGGCTCAAATGAAACACGGTTGTGAAAGTGCTTTGGAGACAAAGAAATGTATTTATTAGGAGTAACTCAATACTTGAGGGGTTGCATGAGGGGGAAGGTGGTGAAACTGGGACGTCTCAATAAATCCCATCCAGTCCTACGATTTTATAAAATGGTTTTATACTACTTTGTTGTTGTTTAGTAGCTAGGTTGTGTCTGACTCTTTAGCAACCCTGAGGACTGTAGCCCACCAGGCTCCTCTGTCCATGGAATTCTCCTGGCAAGAATACTGGAGTGGGTTGCCATTCCTTTCTCCCGGGGATCTTCCCGACCCAGGAATTAAACCCACATCTCCTGCGTGGCAGGTGGATGCTTTACCACTGAGCCACTAGGGAAATCTTTTGTATTCCTTAAATAAGTTGAATTAGATAGCTTTTTCTGCTATTCTAACACTCACTCTAGTGGTATCTTTTTTCCTCCCTAGAGCTCCTTAAATGCAGAACCCAGGGCCTCCCTACATGTTCCAGCTCACCTTGCTTGGCTTCCTCACCAGCCACTGGGCCTCCCAGCCACTGAGGCAGCAACAAAAACTCTCACACAGCATCTGCAGAGGCTCTCTGGACTTCAGTCATCGCCCCAGGCCTTCCAGCAGCAGCTGATGCAAAAAATATGAAAAGATTTTTCCAAAAGCGACAAGATGCTCTACACAGAGACGTGGATGTCACTTGGATCCTCGCTTAGAAACGGCTTAGGAACCTTATTGTGAAAGCAAGTCCTGCAGTATTTCAGGAACAGGTATTCACCGCACAAACGTTGACATATTTATAAACTTAGGAATGTGATGATAGATACCATGGAGTGGATAAAGAGACATATGATAGTGTCCCTGGTGAGGTTGGCTGTGTGAGGCCAGGTCTGAGAAGGATATGACCAGCACATCCCCAAGGCTCCATAAGCAGTTTAGGATTGGGACAATTGACTGTGGTGTCATAGTTTGCTGGGTCTTGCTGTAACAAAGTCTTAGTCCGTTTAGACTGCTGTAACAAAAGTACCATTGATAAGTGGGCTTCCCTGGTGTCTTAGAGGTAAAGAAACAGCATGCAATGCAGGAGACTTGGGTTTGATCCCTGGGTTGGGAAGATGCCCTGGAGAAGGAAATGGCAACCCACTCCAGTATTCTTGCCTGAAAAATCCCATGGACAGAGAACCCTGGTGGGCTACAGCTCACGGGGTAACAAAGAGTTGGACATGACTGAGTGACTAAACCACCACCACCATTGATGAGTAGCTTAAAAACAACAGACATTTATTTTCTGGAGGCTTGGGAGTCCAAGATTAAGATGTGGGCAGGGTTGGTTTCTTCTGAGGCCTCTCTCCTTGGCTTGCAGACGACTGCCTTCACCCTGTGTCCCCACAGACTGTCTTCCTTCTCTGCACGTCGATGTCCTAATCTTCTCTTACTGTGTATATGCTAAGTTGCTCAGTCATGTCCGACTCTGCCACCCCATGAACTGTAGCCCGCCAGGCTCCTCTGTCCATGGGATTCTCCAGGCAAGAATACTGGAGTGGGTTACCATGCCCTCCTCCAAGGTGATCTTCCAGACCCAGGAATCCAACCCACATCTCTTAGGTCTCCTGCCTTGGCAGGCGGGTTCTTTACCACTAGTACCACCTGGGCCTCTTATTATATGGACACAAGTCAGATTGGATTAGGGTCCACCTATATGATTCTGTTTAACTTTGATTACCTTTTTGAAGACACTCGCCTAAGACAGTCACATTCTGAGGTCTTGGGGGTTAGAACTTCAACATAGGAATGGGGGGCAGGGGTTACAACTCAATCCTTAACTCACACTGTGGGCAAGGTAAAGAGAAGATGAGATGGAGAAGCCCCTGGGAACCATTAACAGCAGAAGCCTCTGTCATCCTTGGGCCTGGAGAAACAAAAGAGACAGGGTGTGTTATTCCTAGAACCCCTCCAGAGCTGTGGTCATAGGAGAGGGGCCGCCCAGCGTGGGTGCTGTATGACAGAGGAGGGCACCCACGGTGGAGACCAGGGTCTGGCAGAGAGGGAGGGAGAAGACCCAGCCCTCTGTCTCCCCGCCCTTCACACTCCTTCCTTCACACTCGGATAGTGCTCCTCTTCGGTCAAGAGCCGAGAAAGAGGAGCTGAGAACAGCGAGGCCTGGGGGCTGCAGCTTGTAGATGGCAGGCTTTGAGGCAGGCAACGGGCTGACAGGTGTGGCCAGGGGTGGGAGGGGAGTGGTAGGATTTGAATGGGACGGTGAAGAATCACCAGCTCAGTGGAGAAAACAAAGACATTTCCAGAGGAGGAATTAATTCTGCATACTCAGGTAACTTAAATGGGCTTTAAAGTGTCATCAGAAAACAGAAAATGCTACTTAGCTGCAAAAAATATTAGTCATACATTTGAAATTGAACCAGTATTCATGTAACCATTTCCAGTCCCAGAAGTTACTATTCTAAGATACTTGCTTGCAGAAGTAAAGCAGAATGGTAGAAAGATACGTTTGTCAGTCTTGTCATGTTGAACACTTACGTTCTTAAAATGGGGTGGGAAGTATTACTGGAACTGTTTTGGAATAGAAGGCAGCTCTCTGCCTCGGGAGGGTGCCTGTGTGACCGCGCCCATCAGTGGTCACAGCATGGTTATATGAACTGGGTACGTCCCCTGTGTTGTCGGGCCAGAGCTGCCATAACCAGACACCATAGGCCGGTGGCTTCGACAACAGAAATTTGTTTTCTCACCACTCTGGAGGCTGGAAGCCTGAGACCCAGGTGGTGACAGGGCGGGTGTCTGCTGAGGGCTCCCTTTGGGTTGCCTTTTCAGGGTGTGCTCACGTGGTCTTTCCTGGGTGACTTTGCAGGGGGGAAAAAGCGAGGGGGATGGAGGGAGGGGGAAAGAGAGAGAGAGCGATCTCTTGGTGTCTCTTCTTCTCTTTTTTCCCTAAATTCAAATCATCCTGATTTTATGATCATAGAAATACTACAAGTATCACAGTTGGTGAACACATTATACAAATACAGATAGAAGGATGGATAGAGAGCTACATAGATAGAGTGACTGTAACAAGAATAGACTCAATCTGCACATGCTGTTTTTAAAGTATAGTGTTGAATTTAGTGTTACTTGAATTTAAAAAAAACTGTATTTGACCACACCAGGGCTTCGTTGCGGCATGTGGGATCTTTAGTTTCAGCATGTAGGATCTAGTTTGCTGACCACGGATCAAACCCAGGCCCCCTGCATTGGGATGTAGGCTTGATCCCTGGGTCAGGAAGACCCCCTGAAAGAAGAAATGGCAACCCACTTCATTATTCTTGCCTGGAAAAATGCCATGGACAGAGGAGTCTAGCAGGCTACAGTCCATGGGGTCGCAGAGAGTTGGAGATGACTGAGCCTCTTAGCACACACTCCTGCATTTCCTTAAAGGCCCCACCTCCAAATACAGCCCCCTGGGGGTTAAGACTTCAACATATGAGTCTTGGAGGGGACCCAAACATTCAGTCCATAACATCCCACATAGTGATATGAAATAGATGACACTTGATACATTGATACTGATAGTCATTAAATCAAGAAAACTTCATTGCACACCTACTGTGCGCCAGAATCTCCGCTAGGCTCTGAGATTATAGGTAGAAGGGGAAAAAACTGCCTCAGTCTTTAATGAGTTTATAACTTGAAGAGAGACAGAGCAGCTGTTAGAACACAGTGGTCACTGCCAGGAGAGCTTGAGCATTTGTGCTAAGTCACTTGGTCATGTTCGGCTCTGTGAGACCCCATAAACTGTAGCCCGCCAGGCTCCTCTGTCCATAGGATTCTCCAGGCAAGAATACTGGAGTGGGTTGCCATTTCCTTTTCCAGACCCAGGGATCGAACCCACGTCTCTTGGGTCTTCTGAATTGGCAGCAGGTTCTTTACCGCTAGCACCCCTGGTGGCTCAGATGGTAAAATTTCACCTGCAACAGGGGAGACCTGGGTTCTATCCCCAGGTCAGGAAGATCTCCTGGAGGAGCTCATGGGTACCCACTCCAGTATTCTTGCCTGGGAATTCCATGGACAGAGGAGCCTGGCGGGGTACAGTCCATGGGGTCGCAAAAGAGTCAGGACACGGCTGAGCGACTAACACTTTCACTTTCTGTTCAGTGCCTCCTGGGAAGCCCCAGAGCGCCTAGATACGCCGAATAAACCACTCCCTGGGGGCTGCAGTAGTGATGTGCAAGCAGAAATGGAGGGTGAGGAGTAGGATAGTAAACATGGGGTGGGACAGACAAGGGGGAGCATTCAGGATTGAGGAAGATGGTACACAGAACTAGGGTGACCAGGATCCTGGTGTGCCCGGGGCTGTCCTGGTTTTAGCACTAAAAATCCCACATCCGGGAAAGCTCGGGGTCGCTGAGCCTTATACATGGAGGTGTAAACGGTGCAGTAGAGCTGGTGCAGGGAGGAGGAGGGTTGCAGCAGGGTTGATGGAAAAAAGCTGGGAATGTAGGCAGGAGCCCAAACAGGAGCCGAGCCACGCTCGGGAGGTAAGGCTTCCTCCTGGAGCTAGTTGTACTCAGAGCTGCTGTGCTGTGCTTCCTCGGCCAGTCGTGTCTGACTCTTTGGACCCCGTGGGCTACACAGTCCATGGAGATTCTCCAGGCAAGAACACTGGAGTGGGTTGCCATGCCCTCCTCCAGGGGATCTTCCCCACCCAGGGACTGAACCCAGGTCTCCCGCATCACAGGCAGATTCTTTACCACCTGAGCCACCAAGGAAGCCCAAGAACACTGGAGTGGGCAGCCCATCCCTTCTGCAGGGGATCTTCCCCACCCAGGAATCGGACCAGGGTCTCCTGCATCGCAGGCAGGCGGATTCATTACCAACTGAGCTGCCAGGGAAGCTAGTGATCAGTAAGTAGGGGAGCAACTTGCTGACACCAGATTTTTTTTTTCTACAGCACATTATTATAATATGTATTTAGTTATTTTCTGTAATCTTCAATGTGACTTTATTTTTAAATTTTTGTCTGAGTATAGCTGCTTTACAATGTTGTGCTACTTTCTGCTATACACTCTGCCGTACATATCATTGTTCAGTCGTGTCTGACTCTTTGCGACCCTATGGACTGAAGCATGCCAAGCTTCCTAGTCCATCATCATCTCCTGGAGTTTGCTCAAACTCATGTCCATTGAGCCGGTGATGCCATCCAACCATCTCATCCTTTGCCTCCTGCCTTCTCAGAGAGTTGCATTTAGACAGAGCTCTATCTGCTGGGTAATGAGAAAGAGGGACGATATTGAGGGCCATGCAGGAAGCCACAGTGGTTTTCCAGGGAACAATGATGTAGAGTGAAAGAAAAACGATGGGGGGGAGACGGAGAGACCCAGAGGGTTCGGAATGTCTTAAGGAGGAGTAACAGGCCTTAGAAATACACGTATGGGACGTGAGAGAGAAGGAGCAGTCAAGGATGACTCCCAGGTTGCTGGCTTGGGCAACTGGAAAAAGTCTTGGGAATTAATTAAGAAGGTTTGGAAATACCTTCCCCACTGCACCCTGCGTGAGAATACAAAACAAAGCAGCCTTTCTTCTGCTTCCCAGACAGCTCTTGGTGACCTGAAATCTCAGTTATTGTGCAACTGCCCCAGAGGTCTCGGGCCCATGCAGCCAGGAGACTTATGGCGTGCTCAGGTTGGGAAGGAGGTT